CATAACTGTAGAGACATTAAGAAACGGAATATATTTCGTAATTTATTTCACTTAGACGGTTTTTTCCGATATATTAGCGAATGTGTGACATTAATCATGGAACGGAACATACACAGGTCATCCGTTTCAATAGAAAACTTTGCCCCAAATCCTTTTTTTTTCGCAATTTGCATAGAAGTTTTTTCCTTAAAAATATGGGTTGCAAGAAAGCACCCTGTTAAATGCAGGTTATTATATCTCGTTTTCACTAAAGGGCTATTACATTAAAGGGCTTCTGGGTTCCTCTAATGAAATCCATATTTCAAGTAAATTTCTTGAGGAAATCATATTGAAGATGATGCGGTATCTCGATTATTTGCAAACTCTATCCACCCTTAAATTTCTCGTGGTTTTTTCAACTTGTCGATTCGAGTTTGTATTTGTTGGTTTTTCAATCGTCAGCAATGTTACGACATGCTTGTTTTCTTGCTAATAACCGATCAGTTTGTACTCGCGCCGTTGACATCTTTTATTTTTTATGATATTAGCTTAAAAAAGTTTTTTTTATGCTTTATTTCATCACTGCTAATATTAACTGGCGAGACTCTTACTTGATCTCTTTCAGAGTAGTATGGAAGGCGATCCTGTAGTTCAAGTTGTTCTCATTGCTGAGTCAAGTCGTTTGCAAATGATGCTTTCAACATATGGCATTGATACTCAAACTCCGCATGATCTCGAGCCTGTAAGAATTTGGCCGAGTTGGAGAATGGTGAAAGTATGTTTGTTATCTAAAACTATCGGTTCCATTGTGCATCAGCGTTTGGCTGAAAAGATATAAGGAAAGAAATGATTTCGTCAATTTTTTGTTTTGGCGATTTATTTCCTTTTTTTATATGACTACTGTTTAAGATTGACATTGAAATTTTCGAATTATCAGGAAGAAAGGGCAAAAATATCTTGTTACCAATGTCCAGCTATTTTCCTGGTTTTTCAGGTTTTCGAATCCTTAGGAAAGAATGAAAAAATGGGCTTGAGCGGCCGACCAGGGCGGCCATTTGGCCCTCTTAATACGAGCAAAATTTTCAAACGTTTTGGTGATACTATTCTTTGTTATCCATTATTATTCGAAGTGAAAGATTTTTACATCAATGCAGACCCGGCTGTATTAATCAATGAAATTAAGGTATATTATTTTAATAAGTGAGAATTTGAATAAGTAAAACATCTTCTGGGAAGACCTCACCATTATCTTATTATCGCATACTTTTTAATAAGTAAATTGCAATGAAGTAATGGTGAAGTCTTCTCAGGAAATGCTTCAAGTACGGATGAAGTTTCTGTTGTTAGGATGAGTCGTGCTGTCATTTGACACTGAATGTTCTGCTTTGCACTGGTTTCTTGAAACCAAGGATGATGTCATGCTGAATTTATTGCTGGTAAACATTCGGTAGTTCATATTTATATTGATTGTCCCGCTTTCCCTGACCAACATATAACAGCATCTTCCTGGTTCCGTTGAGGATTCTGGCAACTAATTTTGTTTTGCTTTTATTGCACTTAACGTTGTCCTTTCGCACCTAATGAGTTGTCCAAGTCGCGTTTTATTGGAGTTGCTTCTTTATATAAATTTGAGATTGAAAAGGCTCTTTCAATGTGCGTTTAATTTTCTTCAGTTTATATATACAATTGCAGTTAAATTTGGAATTTATATCGAGAAGATGGAAGCTCACTGGACGTCCCACATTTTGTATGGTTTTACGAGGGGAGATTATGAGTGGTGAATATTTTAGTCATATGTTGGATTTACTAATCTCATTGAAGAACGGTTGTATCAGTGGAGTACGAGTACGAGTTGGTAGACTTCATGTAAGTTATTCAGGAAGAGTATCCTTGATTTCACCATTTCAGTAACTTCAGATTTCTCAACATAGATTCCACTGTGGTTTCAAAGTACAATTGGAGTTTTGTCTTAGTTAAAGAAATGAAATTTGAGGCTAGGAAATTCAGAAAACAAATGAATTCGTGTTGTTTGAGGATTTTTCCATCATAAATGCTACAAATGATGAAAAGTGCTTTAGAGTCAGGTATAGAACTCATTTCAGATTTCATTACAGTGTGTAATTTTGTCGGGCACTGGAAAAGAGAAAATGGAAAATGAATTTTTTGATTTTGAAAGACTTCTATTGTACTAGCTGCAGTTTTTGGGGTTTTCAGCAAAATCTATAGGAGAGTTCAGAAGTTACTCTTTGTGGTTGAGTTGGTCCACGAACCGTAAAATATTTATCAAAAAAAGAAATGTACAATTTTAGCAGCTTTTGAATTCTGGATGTATGGAACATGTCGATTTTGCTACTGATGATGATGTTAATTATGACGATTTCGAAGAGCTTGGCGACACAGATCCACAAGTTCTTTCTCGAGTTTCGATACGAGATATCCATGAAGATGATACCCAGTGCACTGAGGTATCAATATTTTTGATCGTCATAAAGCTTGGCGATACTGGCGCAAAAGTGATTTCTGTGATTCCCACACGAAGATGCCAGACAATTGGAATCAATTATCCGGATGTCATTATGAATGTCATATAATTGAGAACTGAAATAGGTATCACTGGATGGCCAGTTGAGATCATATTTATTCGTCATACTATGTAGGAATTGCGTTCTTTACTTTTTTCTCCATTATTGGCATTCCTTCAACTTCTATCGCTGCAGCGTGATTATAATTGTAAGCCGGATCATGAATTATGTGACATTGTTCGAAAGCACAATATTAATGCACTTCGCAAGGTAGCATCTGCAATTGTAGTGCTCTCTCAACGCTATGGAATGGGATTTATTGTGGATGATGGTAGGTTTTTGACAAGATAGCGAAACAAACTTCCATGAATTTCTTTCTTGTCACTGTCTGTTAACCTGCAAAGCATGATACTGACGTTTTTCTGCTAATTACGTCTTGTGGTTTAGATTATTTATTTTAAATGTTCAATTTCCAGAATGTTTGGAGGTTCGTTTGGAACGTGTGTATCGCCAGGCATGCGCGAGGCGTCATTGGTGGACAGTTCGTTATTGTGCTGCAAAGCTCCGAAAAGTGACGAATTCATTAGCACCTGGTATAACAAGCATGCTTGTTAGAGGAAAACAGGTTTCCAAACTTTTTTTGCCAAGTAAAAGTGTGATAAAGTGGTACTTTAATTTCTGGTTTTATTTCGAGGAACATATAAATGCTGTCACATATAACAAACAAGAAAAAGAGGTGCCAAATATGGGCCAAAAAAATGATTGGTCTTAGAAGGTATTATTGACCAACTATTGGCATCGTTTGCTCTATTCTTGGTACAGAAGAGTTACTGAATACCAGGCGTTTTACTTCTAAGGAACGTAGCAATGTGGAGAAATTTTCCAGATTACTGTTGGAGTCAGTGGTCGAGAATTTACTATAACAGCACCAACAGCTCCAGATCAAATAACTCATGCACTTTTCAGTTCATATTTAGAAGATGAACCGCAAGCTGCTGTCCTACAGCAGGAGCTTATTATTGCATGTTCGGATTTAGTACGTTCCACTTCTTTCCTCAAAATAGATGGTGATATTTTGATGAATACAAAGTGTATAGCGATAGTTCATGCACAAACTCGTTACTGATATTGACGGAATCCCGCAAATTTATTTCTAAAGTTTGGAATTTATTTCGAGATTTTTTTAAAATTTCCATATGTTTAGATAGCACAGAACCCGTCTGCATTTGATGGTGTGCTGACAATCCGATTAGCATGGTTAGCGGATGCGATGTCATTAATGCTGAATTATATGCGAAGTGCAGGAAATATTAGAAAAGGTTCGGTTATTGGAATGCTAAGTATGTCAATTCCATCGACACAAGCAAGTATTTATGCCAGTAAGTTTTCAGAAGTATTATAGTTCGGGTTCATCATTCGTTTTGTTTATAATTTTAATCAGCTGTTATTTCAGAGAAATCTACTATAATGAGACTAGGTTTGATCCATTTTGCATTTAAACATTCGATTTTTCCTTTTTTGCATATCTATTTTTCTCCAGTTCAGTTAATTTCATCCGTTAGTGATAAGCTACTGCTTTAACCTATTTTGCTGTGTAATGTTGTTCGACGCTCGAGCTAATTATTTACATAGTTCAATAATGAAGTTTAAAAGGTACTAGATGAATTCTCATTTTTTCTCACAGCATCTGAGTGAAAGAGGTAAGATGTGGGAATGATCTCGGATTACTATAATTGACGCAAATATCACTTTGAAAAAAAGAAAGATTTGGAATTCTCACCTTTTTTTTGCAGTGAAATTGTGGTAGAATTAATATTTATTATTCTTTAGGACCTTCCCTGTCTTGTTTCTGGTGATCCAGTGCCTGATTTTTTGGAACATTGGTGATATTTAAAGTTACCTGTGCTTCAGTTACACGTGGTTATGAGATGACAGTTGGAGTTAATGTAGGGCATACTGCTTGCTTTTTTATGTCCTTTCTCATTGCGGTTATATGCTTATCTAATGCGCTTCATAAACTACGTTACTTTTCTCGATTTTTTCCAAAATATTCCTTTTTTTTTCAGAGCTTGGTGAAAAGTTAAGTGTTTACGATCTCTCACCAATTGTTGTTAAGGATGTTGTTGCCGCATTATTGATCAGAAAGTATTGGCACTTACTGTATGTGACCACTGATTTGTTGCAAAGATCTTAATTTATTACTTTCCAAAAGTTGTTATAATGCTATGATGTTTGAAACTATAATGAGACGTTTTACATGAATACTTTAAATCAGATTTACAATATATTCAAAGATAGGATCCAACCGTGCACAAGTTCTGATCAAATGCTACATTTTTTCGCATCTTTTTAGAACCCCTTTGCAATCACGACGCTTGAATGGTTCACTGAACCGTGTACCACCTAACTTCTATGATAGCGTTTGGAAAATTTTAGAACGTACACGAGGTGGTATCGTCATTGCTGGACAGTATCTTCCTCAGGTTACTTTATAATTCTTAATTTTTTTCGCTTTGATTTTTGTAGGTACTTGCAGTTCTACAATTCTGCCAAGTTGAAATGTGCGTGTTGGCGGCACATCTTGAAATTTTCATTGGAGTACCTGTGTAAAACATTTCACCTCTCTGTCTTTTGTGAGCCATGTGTTTCACCTGATTTTCCTTTTTTTTCAGCAACCAACACTGAATGATATGACACCGTTCGAACTGACTTTCTCATACAAAATTGAATCTATGATGAGTACTATCGAACATCCAGAATATCGCCAGATTCTTGTGGAAGTACAAAATTTCTTTTGTTTAATGGGATTTTATGGGTCAGATCTTTGAAAATCGTAGGGTTCCACTTTTAAAAACTTTTACTTAAAAAATTAACGGGGCTTTCTTGACAGTTACTACTGAACAGTCCAAAAGCAAATCATGACGAAATTTCTTCCAGCTATTATGCATAATTGCCGTTATTTTGGAACGAAACAGCGAGCTGATGTTCAGCGATAAGCTAGATTTAGATCAGGTTTTGCTTTTTGTTTTTGGTTGAGCGATACTTCAGCAACGTAGTCCGCTGTCTGTCATTCTATGTACAGTTGAAGATCTTATCCCATAGTGCTCCATGCGAAAAATATTTAACGTCTTTTTAGAAGTCTCTATATCTTGGAAAGTTTTAATGTCGTCTTACGGAAATATCATTTGTTTTTGAAATTTCAGCTCATTTCCACAGCTTTTCGACAATATTGTTCAGACCATGGTATTGTAAATGAGAGTGATATGACACCGTTCTATGAATTAGATGATTCCGGTTTGTCGAGAAATTCAACAGCTAATTATTTTGCTCGGGTAACCTTTTTATTTTACCTTCAAATTGTAGGCACTTTTACGGATGCTTATTTTTCAACAGTTGATTCGTAGCTTTTTGAGATATTGATGGCATTCTTTTCGTTGCTTCAGATGATTTATGATTTAAATTTTTGATTTGATTTAATGATTTAAAAGTAATTTAATGCTTTAACGATTTAAATAATGATTGAAATATTCTGACCATACCCATTTTTCTAGCGCTCTACTTCCTGTGTTAAAAGATAAGGAATAATATTGTTTGTATTTCTGGCATATTTATAAATCATTGGACATTTTTCAGGCTGTAATTGATTCCTTGTTGAATGGAATATGCGTTAGCCAACGCAAAATAACTACCTTCATGCCAAACCATCCGTTGTCTTGTGCACCCGTCTGTAATTCTGAACGATCTGACAACCAAGGATATAATGGTTGCTTGCTCAGCTAATAAGGGAATCAGCATATCGATACCAGGATATGTGGAAGATACTCGGACCGGTATGCGAAAAGTCTGCCACATGAAAATAGAAAATACAGGAGATTCGATAGTGTTTTTGTCTCCTCAAATAATGAAGTGCCCTTAAAATAAAGTAGCATTAGTACTAATATATGCCTTCACATATTTCTAAATATATCTAGTCCATGCATATGTTTTTCTCCCACATGAACAAAAGCGAATCATCTTCCAATTACGAAGGAATAAGGGAAATGTAAGAAAAAGAATCCCTCTCAAGACTCGCAAACCTGTTTATTGTTCCATCCCAATTTTGGAAGGCTGTCGAGATTGATCCATAAGCTACAGATATAACATAGTTACAGGAAAGTTTGGGAATAGTGATTTGTATAACCATCTGATTATAAAAATTAGTGTATTTCTGTTCTGCATATATTTTTCCATGGTTAAGAAACGGTATTAATTTATGTGTGACAATTTCAAATATTTTGGTGAATGTTTCCCTAATATTTTTCTCATGCCTCATTTCAAACTAATTTGATTGAAACGCGGAACGGAACCTTACCTAAGTGTTACCATTACATATGACCTTCCCTTATGTTTGACCTAACGAGAAGCATCCCCTTATCCAGTCGAAACGAAATGAGACATTTTATTAGGATTTAAGCAGATGTACGTTACAGTGCTTTCAACGACTGAATACGAAAATTGGTATGTCAAATAGAAAATTAGACACTCAAACTCACTGCTACCAATGTTTAGATATGTTTACCGCTATTCAGTGAAGCATGAAAGCTTTTTGTACACCATCTTTTTTCAAGCAAACAGTGAGGGACTAGCAGAATTTCTGTTTATGAAGTGCATGTATATTATACAATAAATGTGTTAACGAAGTAGAGACAATTGCATCAAATGATAACAGAACTCCAGGAGTTCGGGAGAGGATGCATGAAAGGTGATCCAAACTCATATTAGCCACTAAAGTTTGTGAGTAATTCGTATTTGTACAGACAGATATCACAGATAAAAGAAAATTTATACAATGGAAGATCCAGAGACCATTCTGAATTCACATCACTTTTCAGAATGTTACGTCAGTAAATTCCATCATATATATGGAATTTGATTGTTTTTACGCAAATCTTCAGAAAGTTACCGAAGTCGAATGACTAAAATATGGAAACAAAGGATTCATTTCTTTCAATCAAACGAAATAAGAAGTTCTTCGGCGGGCTGCACCGCAAGCTGCGATTGTGATTCTTCATTTGCTTGGGATTGCACTGAATAATGCATGTTTTGAGCGGATTGCTCCATCATCACTCCATCTGAATAAAATCCATGAAGAAAAAAGTAATTTTGCAAACTAAAACAAATGAAATGTCTGCCTTAAAGTTATTGTATTCTTATCGGCAATCTTCTGCTTCTCAACCTTCGTCCATCCCTCAATTTATATATGACACAAGCAAACATACTACATCAAAATAAATCCGACAATTATGAACAGGAATAAGAATTTCCACAAACTTGACAGTGAATATGGTGAAAAAGGTTGCATCATCCGATTAGTATGCTGGCTTAGAGCTGCTGAAACTGTGGTTGGTGGTACAAAACTAGGCTTCTGCTGCTCCTCAGGACCCAGTTTTTGGAATGCAACATTAGCTGCAGCAGCCTGAAATTGTTGTTGTTGTTGTTGTCCACCTGGAATTGTAACAGCAGGTTCCAATAGTTGCTGAAATTTTCATTTTCTTCAGTAAAGTTCAGCAAATCCCGTCATATAACAAAACTCCTCTATGAACATGTTTTCAGCTTTACATTTCATTCTGACTAATCCAGGCTCCAGTAAAATAGCCATCAGTAGTTAGCATATTGTGCATAGGAAAGCTTACAAGAACTTTCCACATAAGAAAAAAAAAGACCACAAATCCACAAGAAGGAACCAAATACCTGATATCCGGGATAAGTTCGTGAAATGGATGACTGTAAGGAAGCTACACTGTAAGTTGGGGTATTACTGGCTGTAAGTTGCGCTGAATTCTGGACGACATTCAACTGATAATTTGATGTTGATACATCTGATTTGAAGAACTGCTGTTGTTCTTGTAGCTGTTGCATATCTAGCGAAACCTATGAATCCAAACAATATGGATAAAAAACTACCAGATCCATAAACAAGAACTGAGAGACCACTGAAATCTTTTTTGTTTTGTCTTTTATTTGTCTTTTATTTGTCTTAATTTTATTTGTCTTTTATTTTGCTTTTATTTGTTTTGTCTTTTTTGTTTTGCTTTTATTTGTATATATTTAAAAAAACCAATTTCCGAAAAAGGTAAAGTTATACAGAAAAAGTTAGGAACCAAATCACCTGATCAACATACGGCTGAATTGGTGCATAGTTTGCAATGCTCGAATTCTGCGTAATTGTTGCAGCTGCGACACCATCCTGCATCATATGTGCACCAGATGGATAATTCTGTGCCGTCACTGTCATTGGCATACCGTAACTTAACTGCGCCTGACCCACATATGCATTCGGCGGATAACCTAAGGGCGTTTTTATGATATTGTAATAACAATTTTTGAAAAGCCTATTTTTGTATGAAGAATACCTTAATTATGTGTAGCATGCAATGACATTTTATACAACTCTTCATAAATGTGAGAGAGGCCCAATGGCTAAGAGATTTGCCTCTTCTGTGGTGACAAAGCTTTCATTATAGGTCTAATAAGGTCTGGCAAAAAAATACCACTGTTTGCACTGCTATAGAAGATAAATCTCTTCTACAAACCTCATAAGCAAAAAATAATATAAAAATAACTCAAAAATGCAAAATTATTTGACCTTATGCCACTTCAAAAGTAAATTGGGAATAAGATCAAAAGATGCAGAATGCTTTTACCCCCATTTCGTTCTTTCTTCAGCACAATGTGAATATTAACAAACCACAGGGAACGCCGTTTCCTTGTATGGTAGCCTGACTGGGCTCCGTAACCATCTGACTATAATGTATTTCCGTAGGTTGACCAGTAGGATTCATTTGAATACTCTGTCCCATCATCTGCATTCTTTTCATTTGCATTTCCCGTTCCTGTTGTTGGAAACGTAAAAGCGCCATTTGGCGTTGATGCAATATCATCTCCTGTAATCAGAGCTACACTAATGGAACTATATATTAGAAACAAGCAATAACTTGAAATAAAAATTAAATAAAAAACTGTGAAAAATAAATAAAATCATTAATAACGCAATATCATACATAAGACCATATAACTTTTTAGAAAAATTCAAAACATTAGATACAAATTTATCGGCGCTGATACTGTTCAAAGGAAAAAAAACTAACATGCTTCTTCTGCCTCATCAAGTCTACCTTCTGCTGCATTTGTATTTGTTTCAGACGTTGTTCTTCCATAATTCTTGCTTGCTTTTGACGTTCATGGTCCTCCCTAAGAGCATCTATGGCTTGTCTAGCTTCCTGGATATGAGCTAAACTATCTTGAAGAGATTCAAAATGATCTGAAATGGAGCAGTGATTAATAATATCATTAATTTATAAATCGCAAAGTAACTCCATTATTGCCGTTGGCCACTCCAAATATTAACACTGATTTATTCGAATCATTATAGACAAGAGCATTATTAAATGCATAAAGATGGACAGACTTCTCTGATCCTCTAACTTGTTCATGCGTGCCATTACTTGGGCGTGCATCTCAGTTAAGCGTATGAACAACGACTGTATTGCTGTGTCATTGACAACAGAACGATTTCGAGCAATGTTGGAACGGATTCGATTATCCATGACAGTAACCTGTAACAATAAATGTTCCACATATTGTCGATTCATTTCCATAAAACATATGGAGATGAATCGGGTAATATATGAGACGAAATGAAAAAGTATAAATAATTTATCTGATACCGCTTCTGCTACTAACGTTCATACGATTTCGAACCCCTTCTTATGATCCAGTGCAGTATATTGTCTGGGAAAAGTACTATTGCAAGCACACACTACCGTGTATACGCTTTCAAGAAATAATATATGACATTATAGAGGTAAACTTCAACGTGTTGAATCCCCCTCCTAAATTTTCTGCAGTTGTTGAAAACCACAAACAATGTACTTGTTCCACCAGCTGCCGACAAAATTCCATTGTTTCTGCCGTTTCTTCCTCCTCAGTATTAATAAAATGAGATGCTGCAGCGGTATCACTTTCCAGCTGCTTTGTGGTTGAAGTAAACGAAGGTTCGGCAAGTGAAACAGCACCATCGCGATCATGACTAGGTGCACAACGCGATGATTCACTTGGTGGTGGAGCAGTTGGTGTTGGTACTTTTTGATGGTCGTCACTGGTGAATACTGTTGTTATCTAAAACAATATTTGCTAGTTATTAGGACGGCTAATCACCTTGAACAAATAACAAAAGTAAAAAAGAGAATATGGTCATACACAATATATATATATATATATATATATGTATATATATATATATATATATATATATATATATATATATATATATATATATATATATATATATATATATATATATATATATATATACTAG